GGGTTTAGGGTGTAGGAGTTTAGGCCTTAGGGTTTAGGGTTTAGGGTTTAGGATCCAGGGTGTAGGAGTTTAGGGTCTAGGGCTTAGACTTTAGAGGCTGAAGGTGCTAAGTTTCACCTTACATTGGGCCCAGGATCAGGAACATGGTTTAGGTGTGTGAGGACTTGGCTCCATTTAGCGGATTCCGAACATCCCTTCAGGGTTTCATGGTGGTTGATATCAAAATAATTTGGGGTTTAGGGTTCTTATACCACCAAAAACCCCCCTCATCCCCAAAACCCTCCTGAAGACCCCAATTACAGGGTTCTATAGAGGTTTGGGTTTAGGGTTTAGGGATAATGGAAAAGAAAATGGAAACTATTGGGATTAGAGAGTTATATTGGGATTAATGACGGGTATCCTAACCCCACTCTTAGCCACTGTCACCCAAATAAGGCCCATTAGGGATCCAAAGTTGGGCGTTCTCTAACACCAATGACAAACTTTCTACTTCCCATGGACCTACTAGTAGAGGTCCCTGAACCCTGAACCCTAAACCTTCATCAACCTAGAAACCTAAACCCTAAACCGCATATCAACCTCCAAGTGAGTTCTAGTCTAAACTCCTAGCATGCCGCTTTTTATCCTTATACTACTCCCACATTTTGTCCCCTAGCCCCATATAACCCCTTCAAGGAGTTTAGACCCTAAACCCTGATTCCTGAATCCTAAGTAATCGGTTATTTGGAATAACCCCCCCCCCCTTTCAGGAATAGGATTGAACAGATTTTGCCAACAGCCGTCCAGGATCTTCCTGAAGCTGACTTTTGCCCGGCAGACGCCTGGCCGTTTTTTTTTCTTTAGGGCTTAGGGTGGAATGTTTAGGGTTTTGGGCTCAGGGTTACCATAATGGGTACATATATATATATGTATAGTAAATAAAAGGATTTCCCCAGTATGGCACCCAATACAATTTCTTAAAGTAAGTTCCCTAACAGCAACCCAGTAAGGTTATCCTGTAAAGTTTAGGGTTGAGGGTTGCAAACTGTGGGCCCTGAGTATGGGCCCTTCATCCCGAGGTCCTTAGATACCTAGCACTATATTGAAACATAGTATAGTAGATATTAGTATATTATGGTATATTCGGGTATGTTAAGGTATACATGAGTATATTATGGTATATTATGGCACATACCTTAATAAACCCCTAGAAACCCGAGTCCGCGCCCATAGTTAGGACCCAGGAAACAGGTGGGGACCCATACAGGGTGCCCATGGTTAGGACGTTAGACTCAGGGAGACTGGGACGCTAAGTCACTGTAAGCTCATGTTTTCTCGTGGGCCTAAGGTTTAGGGCTTAGCGTTAAGGGTCTAGGGCCTATAGTCTCCCTTACATAGATAGCGTATGGGGTATATGGGGATCTTAGTATAATGGACCCAAAGCGATATTCTATCTACTTAAGGGGGCCTGGGGTTTAGGGTTTTGGGAGAGGGTCAGTCCCCCAATCATGGCGTGCTTGAGCAATAAATACATTTTCTAAATGTATTCGAATTCGCCCGCCCTCTAAACCCTATACCCTCAAAGTTTGGTTTATTCAACCACCGCCCCCCAATTTACTACCCATATGTTGTTTTGGGTTTGGGGGCGGTTTGATTCTAAACCCCCCCTATATAGTACCATTACATAATTCTGTTTGCAAGTGTGGAGAGTTTATGCTTGGCAGGTGATTCTTTGCCGACACTTGTGGTTTAGACGCCAAGGCTTGGAGTTTAGGGTTTAGGGCGAAGGGCGGACGGTGTAGGGGTTCAGGGCTTCGGGTTCAAAAGCTTGACGTTGAGGGTTCAAGGTTTAAGGTTTAGGGCTGGTCGGAAGCTAACACGCACACGGGTTGGGGAACAAGGATTCACAATTTGATGTTCACGGTTCGGCCCGAACCCTCAATTCTAAACCCTGAGTCCCTATTTCGAGCAAATGGTAGTGTCCCATAATAGGGGGACCCCAATATAGACCCCAAAATACTATAGTCCTTAATGTAGGAACCCCCAAAAGGGTACCCCTAATTTTGGGAAACCCCCAAGTCCCACCTGTCAGCAAAATTGCCGAGGGCAAGTCGCCCATCCTTGCTCGCCGCAGCCCACTCTCTTCCAAACATACCTGGGGGTTTCCCAAAATTAGGGGTACCTTTTTGGGGGCCCCAAGAATAAGGACTATAGAATATTGGGGTTTATACTAGGGTACCCTAATTTTGGGAAACTACCACCTGTATTGCAATGTTTTCCCTCAGAAGAGCACAACACTACATGGGATGTGAAGATCCCGTTAAAACTGATGAGGACCCCAAAGACCAAAGAATGACGTAAAACCTTAAAACAGTGAAGATACAGAAATGATGAATATCAGGAAGTCCAGTTTCGCAAACTGACGCCACTGGACCGCCCCAATATTCCAGCTGACCGCCTAGCTTCAAAGCAACAAAGCCATGAAAATTGGAATAGATGCTTTGTACGTTGCAAAGTCGGGCTCCATTGCTATCACCTCCAAACAAAGGACTTCCCCATGTAATGACCACGCCGTCATCTCTCAGGGCAGCAAAAGCGTCAATATTTGATTGAATCGCACGCACATTGTGAAGTTGACTGCTAACCTGACCTAAGTTGGTTCACAAGCTCTGGTCCAGGGCGACTAATGACTAATATGGGGTGCCGCACCACAATGAAAACACAAACATGGGACAGTCCGAACTGACCCCCGTAGCCGTAGCCCCAAGAGACCCGACTGTACATCCCTTGCAAGGCCCTTCGGAAATCCCCATCTGAGCCATTGTCTAAACTCCTAGTGTCTCCCTTAATAAGCCCTATAGTAATCCTAAACCCTAAACCCTATAGAATCCCCATATACCCCTATACAATCCCCTATAAACCCCCTTTAAGGAGTTTAGACTATAGCTCATCTGTCCTTGCAAGAAATAACTGCTTGCGGTGCGAAGAGATGCAGCCGCGCAACAGTGAGCCAGATTAAGCGCACGAATGGAGGCACATGCAAGTACTCAGAGGTTCACGGGATTTCGTAACTACTTATAACTGGGCTTTTTCATCCCGTATATAATCCCCTTTAAGGAGCTTGCACTATAGCCCATATCATGGGAATGTTCAGTTTCAGAGGGGGTTTGGGGTTACTCTTGGCGGAGGGCATGATGGAGGGGCGGGGTGTCCAGAAACCTCCGTCCTCATTGGCATTTAGGGTTTGAGGGTTTGAGGGTTTAGGGAATCCTTGTAACAACCCTTCCAAGGCTTCCTGAAGTTCCCCCTCTTGGGACAGCCGTCTGTCTTCTGAAAAAAACAGTCCACAGAAAGGAAAAAAAACTTTTCGAAACCAACGAACGATACAAGCCCAACACGTTTAAAGTTCGCCCTTTGAGGGAGTACGCCTGCCATTGCCATCATCATCACTGAAATTCCCCCAAGGCCCTAAACCCTAAAAAATCCTAAAACCGTTAAAAATCTGATACCCCTAAAACCAAAGTTTGGTTCAGCCTTGCTACTGCAATTCCCACCCGCAGTCGGATCTCCCCACGCAACCACCGATCCATCGCGTCGTATCGCTGCAAAAGCTCTGTCCGTCGCCTGGATCTCAAGAACGCCTGAACTTGCCAGCGGCTTTAAGGTTGAGTTAGTAGGGTTGAGGGAGCAAGGGTGTGGGGTTTGGGGATCAGGGCTTAGGCTTTACGGATAAAAGTTTCGGTTTTAGGGGGTTACGGCCTCAGATTTGGGGTGTAAAGCGTGAGCTTCCATCAGCTACGGTTCATATGTTTTATGCAACGGAAAATGTCGGATTGTAAGAGGCAATGCGTGAAAAATCTCCCAGAACAGACCTCTGTCAAAACGATGTCCATCCCAAATAGCACAGCTGTCATCAAAGGCTTGCCCAAGAATCATGAACTCCACTTTTTGGCTTAGTAAGTCTAAATACTATTCCCGCCAAGAGCTATTATCAGGCCCATACCGATACTAAGTAAACTTACTAAACCAAAACATCATCCAAGAACTCCCTGTTTCGCGAATAACGCGCCACCCTAAACCCTAAGCCCTACACCTTAAATTGTACCTTCCATGTTTTTCGCTATCCTTGCATTAAGAACCCTTGACCATAAACCGAACCCGTATGCATTCCTAGACCCCAAACCTTAAGCCGCTATACAACCCCATTATGCATATATAAGCCCATCTGAATTTCAGAGCCAGCGGCCCCACAGTTCATTCTGAACTTCTGAGCTGTCGCCGCCGCAGTCGGCGTTGCCCCAGGTGACCACAGAACCGTCGCCCCGTACTGCGGCGAAAGCCTGCTTCAGATCAGCCAGTATGTTCACAATTACGTGGGATAGCCAAAGTCATGAAATGGCCGTTGGCTTAGAACGGCTAAAAATATACATGCTACGTCTGCTTGACGCCCTGATATAGCCATATTGTGGGCTATAAGTACGAAACTTAACTTTTGAAGCTTCGGGCTTGGAGTTTAGCTTCCATGTTTCAAGGCTTCTGTTTCAAAGCTTAATCTTTGGGGCTCAAAGTTTGAGAACGAAACTGGAGGCCTCCCGTTTGTTTAGGGACATGGAGCAATAGTAACTGACAGTGTTTAAAATTCAGAGTTTAAGGTTTAGGGAGTGGGGCTATAAGTGCACTTGGAGCTGGGCTGGCGTACAACTATAACCAGCCCAGTATACCTTGTGACCACAGCCCCTGAACCTTCACCAGCGGTTGTAGGGCAAACCACAGCCAGCCGAGTAGACCCTGTGACCACATCCCCTGACCTGCACGCCGCGCAGCGTCTGTAGGGCAACCCTAAACCCATATAATAGGCGTTGCTATTTCGAATCTCAAGAGCTTCGGAGAGGTACCCTTGAGGTCGTCCCCCTGGGTATCCGGTACCTGAACCCTAAGCCCTAAGAGGAATATGAAACCCATATCGGGCCATGTGGGGGTGATACAAGCAAGAGGCTTTAAGGTTGCAGCCGTGGGAATACAGCCCAGGACGTCCCGATAGCTTGGAAGCTTAAGGTTTCGCGGTTTAGGATTTACAGATAAAAAGTTGAGGGGTTTCGGATCTAAGGTTCTATGGGTTTTGGGTTACCCACGCTGACACATACCTAACAGATTGGGAAGAATCATAACCAAATTGTAGCTTACTAGATTGTTCTTCGTCAGCACCTGGGGGGTCAGAGCTCTTCAGTAGCACGTTTACTAGTTTGTCTTTCATTACCCCGGTAGAATACAACTTTACTACCCAAAACCAGACAAAAAGCCAGTCACCAAATTTAAAGTGCTAAAAGCGACTTTGTGCTTTAAGTCCTCTAGGTGGATGAGCCCAGCAAGAAAATGTTCTTCAAATGACAAACTATGCCCCAAAGGAAAGTATGTTCTTACTTTGGGGAGTATGTGTGGTAGCCCTGTCAAAAAAGATTAGTCCTTTGCTTCAGGAGCTTGCGGATGGGGTGCCTGCACGTTTGCTTGTACCTTCTCCTTGGCTGATCACAAAGCTGCAAGAAAAATGCTCTTGATCTGAAAAGCAGACAAAACAGAAAAAACAAACTGTAGGCAGATATGGCTTAAAGGTGCATATGTTAGTCTCCATAAGCTGGAGATCCCAACCCAAACCCTAAAATACAATAGTCCTTAATGCAAGGCCGCTCAGACAAGCGCCTTCCTCTGCAAGCTACATGTCCCATGCCATACATATCATTTAGGAACTGAGAGGACGACCACAGCTCAATGAGCTCATCGAAGGAGAACTCGGCCCAAAGTGAAAAAAAAAGGAGCCTATTCTCGTATCATGGTCCCGGCGAGGGCTTACGCGAAATGTGGCAACGGTGCGCAATCTGCCTGATACAAAACGCTGAAGCCATCTAACAGAGCGCACACGGGCCCGACCTCAACCGGAAACGGAAGAGTTCCGCTTCATACATGTTCGTGATCATGTCCAGGACCTGGATGAGTTTTAGAATAAAACAAGACCTCAGCGAAATCTAAATTGCAGACTTCGAGGTAGAGGGCAAAGGGACCCTCGTCACCTGCCGACTTTAAATAAGCAACGAGCCCAACATGGTACGAGCATGGCCTGCAATGTTGATCAAGACCCGCTCGCGCCGCAGTGCCTGAACGCACGTCATGATCAAGAACAGCCGAGATGATGCCATCAGAACCTCTTGGCGCATGGCGTTGTCCCAGCCATGCGGAACCCTGCAATACGATGAGTTGGAGTACCACTAATTTAGACTTCAATACGGGCGGCACTCGAAGTATGGCAGGGGAGCCGTGTACCACTGCCTCATGCCTGCATCCCAGGAATGTACACCATCGTGTTTACGTAAAGAAGAAGCTGAGTGCTGAACCCGAGTCACCATCCTCTGATCCTGGTAGAGACTAAAACAAGAAGAAAAAACACATAACGCAGGACGAATATATTGGATGCAGCACCTTCAGCCACCTCCGGGTCCGAGCCTCGCAAAGCCCACGCTCAAGTCCAAACGTGAAAGTTTGTCTCAGCATCGCACTGTTGATCATCTCGATGTCGTGTGGACCTGAGGAATTGAAAGCGCGAGTTCCTTCTCCTACCGCCATGGCCTCAAAAATAAACAATCAGGACGCAACTCGGTGCGGCGAGGGTACCTAGGTGTGAATGAAGTCGGCGCATAACAAGCATATTACTTCAAGATGAGCACACGTTCCGATGAGCATACGTTCCGAGGACTGGGCGCTCCTGCTTGTCCTCGGACTCGAACAGAAGTCCTTGGCCAGTAGGCTGCATCCACAAAAGGATTGGCTAGAAATATACCAGCACACGCTCACAGACAAATATTAAAATCAAAGCCGTGAAGTGCATCAGCCATGATACCTGAATTCGTCAGATACTTCATTCTCACGACGTTGATAATAAGGCTTGGACGCGTACTTGGGCAGAAGAAACGTCCGGAAAGGCCTCAAATTATATCGCAAAGTGGTTTGCGCTACACCCCAGCAATGATGATGAGTACTGAGTTCGAAACACAGCGAGCGATGTACGTGAACTGTTTCACTATAGCTTGAACCGGCTACATACGAGCATGAATCATGGGATTGCCAGTGGTTTTTGACCCTGTACATTCTTCTCATCTGAAAATCACAAAACTCACATAGATTTCTGAGTTTGTGTGCCATGCTATTGTCTCGTTTGTAATCCTCAAAGTCCGTCTAGTGTCTGCTGAAACTCACGTTGTCAAGTATTGCGTACCTGTCAAAAAGAAAGCTTCCTGATGATGCGAATTAATGTTGCCATCTATGAATGGCCTTTTTCTGTGTTGTGTACTTTACTATGTCGACTCATCACATTCGTCCCTCTGTGAAAGAGTGCCCAGAGATCTATAGAACGCATTTCAGGGAACGTTGAGCCCCGGAAAGAGGAAACAGAGAATGATCGCGCTACGGCGCTATTGCAAATCTGCCATCGGTCAACATCGCTCAACATGAGCTTTACTCACTCGTGTCAACTCCTGCCGAAGAGAACATCTGGAAACCACTTTTTGCCGACAGCCTGGCTTTACCTTATTAAGACAACAGGTATGCCAGTAGACGGCTTCAAGACATGGGCTAAGGTTTACTTTCTTAGACGTGTTGGAG